CATATAAAATTTTAATCAAGAACTGTTTGTCAACATAGGTGTGTAGTATTTTTTTAAATTTCACTACAGATTAGGCTAGACTAGATGTCAACATGACTACAGCACTTGTGAATACTGTGCCTGCGAATCACCGCTTGTCGGTAATTTTAAACTGCAGGAGAACACTGCAGTGATGTCTAGTGCTAGACTATCCTACATTTTTTGATTGGATAATAATTACACATTTTATAAAAAATATAACATTATTTACATTATTATTCATATATAGTGAAGAGAAATTATTACAAGACACTCGTTCAGTAAATTAGATACATTTTTTTAATGACTTTAGGCAAAAATGAGCAGTATGACATTTTTATATTCAACTGTAATGAAATGATAATGTCAAAATTATTTAATATCGATTGAATAACATTACAATTCTATAAATAATTATAATTCATCTCCATTGATTAATTTAAAAATTAATCAAATTTAGTGAAACATCACAATATCAAATTTAAGACCAATAAACTGTATATTCAATTCAACAAATTATAACAAGGTATAACGTGAAAAATTGTTAATTTACATTGAATAATGATTGCAATTATTAAAAAATAAATTTGTTTTCATTGATTTCAAGATTGGTAAAATTTAAGAGGCTTGGGTGGGGAAATTGGTAGCCTACTAAGTAATTTTCAGAATAAATGTTAATAATTAAATTGGTTCAAATTATTGCACTCTTATTATAACATGGTAGCGAATTCCAGGCCTTTATGCTATTATAAAACAATGTATTATAATAATATGAGGAATTTAGAAAACTTGGTCTAGTATGTTTGATTGTTTTATTGGTTTTACTAATTTATTTTATTGCGTGCCCTGAAATTCTGAATTGTTCTATAAGGGTCGCGAACTCAAAATATGGTCAATAAATAACTAAATAAATAAAGAAAAAGCAAACAGACAAACAAACAGACAGCCAAATACACAAACAAATAAATAAATAAATTGTTTTAGATTGCAGATAGAGTGAGATAATCCTGGGACTCTAGTTGCCAAGTAAGATTCAGGGTGATTTTAATCTGAGCTTCAATGCCTTAATATAGTTACTAACACGAGATGTTCCATGCTTTCTTGATTCTTCTTGATTTGCTCCTGATTTTCAAATTGCTGAGCAAGACTGTATGTTCATTGGTTTTCAGTAGGGTCTACTGAGCGACAATACTACTGGTTTATTTTAATTTTAAGCGAGAACCTCCTTGGTTTCTAGTTACAGAGCAATTATTCTCATGGGTTTCTAATTGCTGAACGAGATGATTCTGCGCTGGTTGGAAAGATACTCACGGGTTGCTAGATTCTGAGCAAAATAATTTATGATTCTTGTTCACTGAACGGGATACACCAGGTTTTAGGTACTACTCGAGTTGCTAAAATGTCTTATTGCTGAGCAAGGTGCTCCAGGGTTTGTATTTACTTCACCGAGATGCTTCTGGGTATCTTGATAATGATAGACTTCACTGAGATACTTCTGGTATCTTGTTAATGATCAATGTGCCCCAGGTTTCCTGATTCTGATCAGCATGCTCCATGGTTTCCAGTTTCTGGGCGAGAGTGTTGTTTTAATTACTGAATGAGGTAGGGTGAGTTACTAGATTCTGAGCAAGCTGAGCAATTGTTTATAGCTGCCGAGCGAGATGGACTAGGGTTTCGGTACTAGGCGAGTTGCGACTCGAAAAATAATCAGATGAGTCATGTCAACCTTGCAATACAGGAAGGAAAACTAAATCGCGAGCGACATAAAAACATTCAACCTTATTAAAAATTACAAAGGATACGTCAAAAGACCCTATATGATTTATAATATTATACAACTAAATATCGCTTTTTATAAAAGCCTTTTTGAATTATGTGATTTACTTATCTCATATCTATAATTTTGTATAACACATTGGAATTTATTTGCAATAAGTAATTTTGTTGTATTTTTAATGGATCTTTTGAAGGATATCGGCAGAGGAAGTTTGTAGATAGAGATAAACATCTGGAAGCCGGATAATCCACAAGGAAATCTGTAATCTAGACAAATTCAGACCACTTCGTTCTCATGAAACGTGTAAATGAAAACTAGTTCATGGTGTAAGAGGAGAGAGTTGCTACAAAACTTGATGACAATACAATATTATATTACCATAACATTACACTTTTGCTGGCAAATAATCATTCGTACATTTGTAGGTCGCAATTTTAAATTTAGTAAAAATCTGACGGTACACCACAGTTCTGAGAAGAACTGATGTGTTTAGAGTATGTCGACGTTTCCAATAGTTTGCTCGATGTCGTACCAACGGCACATAGTGGTCTCCAATCTTTCGTTTATGTTTTAATTCTGCCACAACACTTTTGTATGGTTTAATGGTTTAATTTTATATCTACTTTTTTAATAGTTTTTGACATTTAGCCTACTTATTGCATTTTAAATATAGATGTCATCGAAATCGGATCTAATTAACCTTTCTAGATGATTTGAAGAATTTTTGTATGATTTAGTAAAATTACCAAACCATAAAGTTCAGTTGCTAACCAATACACTTTTAATTGACAATACTAAAACTAGCATTAAAAGACACATTTTTCGATATAATTTCACTGTGTAAACATTTTAAACGTTTTAAACTATAAAATTACCATTTTATTTTTCAAAATTTATTAACTCTAGCTTCCGTCCAGTGGTCCAGCCAATGGCGATTTAACAGGATATTTAAGTTCCTGATGAAACCCACGAAGGCTAGAACTAACACGTTATATAGATTTTCATGTCTTATATTGTTCTACAGCAGACTAACACGGATAAAGCTTTTGTTCATCAATGTATTTATGCAAATTAACATTATCATCGTCACATTACAATTGTTATGACAAGAAGGTTAGTATGTGCAAATGGCAAACGTTCGAAACAAATTCAGAGGGCAAACTATTAATTCAATATTCCAGCCATCATACACCGTTGGTTGACAGTAACCAGTTCATTAGAAATTGCTTCTTCCAAGTCATTTAATTATTTACCTATTTTAACTGTTTTTAATAATCCTTTAAGAAATAAAAATTCTCACACTTTATTATATACAGACTAATATTTTTCTCTTTTTAGGTTAATTCAATTCAATTGATTTTTATTGCAATTTATAGTACAGCATACAAAATAACATAAATGATTGGATGTTACAATTGAGCAGTACTGAAAAATATTTAAAATATTTAAAAAACTTCAATAAACAATAAAAAGACAAAATATCAAGAAAGTTGAATATAAGAAATAATTTAATTATTACAATAGGCCTATTATAATTGTTAAAAACCTTATAATTAAATATAAATTAATTTTCATAAAGTCAATATTTGAAGCATGTATAAAAAAATCCCACCAAAACATCAACAAAATTATTACAGTTGCACAGAACCAAAAAAGATTAAGGATTATTTTAGTAAATAAAACAAAAGTTATCGTTAATCATTTTATGTAACTATTTAATTTTTGAGCGGTCAGAATATTTTAAAGCCATATTGATCTCTCTTACTACACACTAAGCAGTAGAAGTCAACTGGTGAGTTTACTAGTCAATGACAGGCAAATGTACTCTTTCAAGACACGTACAAACTAAAAACAACACGCTTACTAACAAAATAACAAAAACGCCTTCATATTCTATTGGTATGAAAGTTACCGTGTGTTTCATTCAAGAATATTTACATGTTCCATAATACTGTTGCCAAATTTTTTTTCTAATACTTATTTTAACAACGTGCAGCTTATCATTATTTTGATGTTAACAATACAATACATACATACTTATATATAAATATATATATTCATACTTATATATATAATTTATGTAGGCCTATATATCTCACATATAATTTCTTATAATAGGCCTATATTATTTTTGTAAAGAGTCACTTAAATTACTGTTCAGCGATACATATTAATTCAAAATTTCCTCCCACTGGATTTCTTGCTTCCAAAATGTTAAAATACCCAAATTATAAACTGATTCTGAAGTGGTATCTTAATTATAGAGGTAGTAATTAGTTACCTCATGGGTCGTTATTCTAAACAAAAGACAAGTGAAATTAAAAGAACAGAAATGAAACATTAACTGGCTTAAAGAAATAAGTTTACATGGAAACTGTCAAAAATGTGGTTATTAATTCGTCAAAATAAGTATGTTCAATTGAGGTGAAGTGACCAAATCGGATGTATAAGAACGTATTGACACGTACAGAATAATTTTCATGGAGGTCAGTGGCCGGGGCAAATTTCGTCACAGACGATGTACTCAAGGAAGAAGCAATTACTAGCGGGAAATATCCAATTTGCTCAAAAGAGAGCGTGTTATCGCGTGTAAGGTGAACGCAACTGTTTGACATCAGACAGAATAAGTTCAAACGTTAGAAATAATAATAAATTCAAAATAAATGAACTACTTGGAACAAGGTCAAGGGAAGTATTAAAGTGAGATGTATGTATAATAATGAATGATCTCCCTTAAAATAATGACACTAAGTTTAATAATATTGATAATAATAATAATAATAATAATAATAATAATAATAATAATAATAACTTGTTTAATACAGAAAAAATATACAATACACTTAGTATATATTTCACTTACTACCATTCATTGCATATTATAAAATACCTTCAAGAATGAAACACACGACAGACTCAAACATGGCTTGGGTCAGCCCTGTGTGACGTGGTACACTGATTATGAAATACAAGGGTGCACAAAC